GGGGGGCGGGGGTGAGTGTGTGAGAATCTAGGCCAACCCCCGGCCGTGTGCCCCCTGACTCCTGTCTCCATGACTCGGGGGCACAGGCCTCTCTTGCAACTCTGACCCAGTGAGGAGGGTCTTAGGACAGAGGCTCCGGTGAGCAGAAGCCAGCCCTCCCCCGGCCCTTTCTCTGATCTCTTCTGTTCAGAGTGGACGCATCAGGCAAAGAGCACGGCCAGGTGGCACACAGCGAACCCAGAAACCCTTCTTGCTAACTGAAGACTCAGAGAGTGTTGGGGGGCCCTGGTGGGACAGGGCAGGAGGCTGAACACCATGTAAGGACTTGTAGTTGTGTTGGCTCTGCCCCTTCAGGACAGACACCGCTGGTCCTGGGCCCTCCTCATGATGGGCAGTCTGTTTGCGTCCACTTCTCCGGCTACTGTGTCAGTCCTCATGAGGGGCTCCCTCGTGTCCACTGACCCCTTCTTGATCGGCCATGCGGCATCTTCCTCCCTCCCTCCACACGGGGCTTTAGCAAAGCCACTTCCCAGCTCCAGGCCTGTGATGGGCGGTGGACAAGGTCTAGTGTCCGAGAAGCACCGTGCCCGGGGGGGATACCAAACCTCCAGCCAAACCCACTCTCACTGAGTGCGTCCATTCTGATCTGCAGCAAACTTCTACAGGGGACCCAAGGCTGTTCATCCTGATGGGAGCAGACAGCCTCATCTCTCTGTCGAGGAACAGCTAGTGGGTTTGAATTGCTCAGCTTCAGGTCAGTCATCACCCTGAGGTTAGCAGTACATAGTAGGTGTGCCCTAGAATAGTTGCTGTCTTCAGTCCTAATGGAACTCGCCACACCAGCTGTCTCGGGAGCTGTGACCCAAACGTTCCCACGGGCCGCACCCCCCAGAGCTGAGTGTGGAGAGCAGCTTTCTCTTGCCTGGTCTTTCCCATGGTGCCACCCCCCTTCCCACGCCCCCCCCCACTTATGGAAGCACTTGGGATCCTCCCATGTTTCTTTCTCAAGTGGAGCATGGCAGGCCTTCCCCGGGAGCCCCACGGGTGTGGGCAGGGAGCGCACCTGTTGCTCTGGGACCCGGAGGTTTTGGAAGAAGGGCTGCAGAACCACAGAGAAGTCTTCTCGGGTGTCATAGCGGCCCGACTCCACCAACTCACGCATGCTGTTCTGGGGAACACAGGGCCCGCTCAGCACATGCCGTGGGTGGGCAGCGGTGTCAGTGGAGGGGCAGGGTGGTGGGCACCATGAAGACAGCCCTGTCCCCTTATCCCTGGACTGGTGATGGCCTCACACAGTCCTTTCCTTAAGGCCACAACCACGTTTGACTGCAGATCTCCTTCCAGAGCGTTGCGAGTGCTGCATTGGGGTTGGGAGTAGACTGTAGGCACAGAGGGGCTCGGCTAGACTGCCAGGAGGGAACAGAACCCCAGCAGAGACCCCGGCAGTGGGGCTCGGGGCTCCAGCAAGTGATCCTGTGCCTAATCCTCCCATTCCGATGGACCAGCTGGGGTGGGGTGGGACCAAAGGGCGTAGCTAGACCTCCAAAGGTACAAGGTGAGAGGCTGGCCCTTGGGGTGTGCAGTGTTAGGGTCCTATTCCAGCCAACCAGTGGGTTAAGCCACCAAGGGCACCTGGGCCGTTGGGCCTCAGGGTGGGGCAGTGAAAGGGACCTAGGATGTTTGGGGAGTGGGTGTCCCATCGCCAGTCCCCCCCTTCCTGTGCGGTCCCCCAGGGGAGCTCTCGGCTGTGTGTGTTGAGGGCGTGCTGCGGTAGGGAGAGCCGCCGTGCCTGGTCTCACCTGGTAGGCTTGTGTGATGACGGCCAATCTAGCCTCTTCTTGGGAGTTCTCCCGCGGGCTCAGAACACAGTTACAGAGAAGACTGCACAAAGGGAGGCAGAAGAAGCCAGAGCTGAAGCCCAGACCATGCAGAGGCTGGGCCTCGGGGTGGGTCTGGCTTTGGTTACAGGGAGGGTGACTTCTGGGAGCCCTGGCCCAGTGTGGTTAGCTAGCACGTGTGCTGTGGGGTTGGATGCAATGCCTGGGGCAGGTTGTCAGCCCGGCAGGGGCACAGGATCCAGTCCCTCAGGAACGTGGAGCGTGAGCAAGCACACACTCACATAACAGAGGACCAGTACCAGGTGCAGGCACTAGGCTTCCCACCCTTTACACGGAGCAGATGAACCAGGCAGAGCCAATCCAACTTGGCATGGAAATAAAAATGCATCGGAGCTGGTCTTCGGCAGTCATGACCCTCGTGCCTGCAGACACCACCTTGGACCACACTGTCCTTCCTCATTACCACTGTCTACCACCTTGCTTCTACCATGAGGCATTTCCTGCCTATAGAAGATCCGTCACATATCACAGAGCTAAGGCGGCATTAAGCATGGTGCCCAGGAGGCCGGCTGCAGAAGCGTCCTTCAATGAACATCCTCTGTAAGTTACAAAGGAGAACGGAACACGCACTCACGGACCCCCACCTGGCTGAAGAAACAGCACGCTCCCAGGTGTAAGTTCCCTGTGGGCCCCCTCCTGCCCCAATTCCCTTCTTCCCTCTAAAGGCCAAGGCTGTTCTGAAGCTGAAGCTTGTGCTTCCTCTCCTGGTGTGTTGTCCTCCGTCTGCTGCATTGAGCACACGTGCAACCCGCCCTGCGCTGGCCCCTTCCCAGGCCTGGCCTTCACCCTCTCAGACACCAGCCTTTGTCCCAGCCTGCCCCCAGGACCACAGAGACTCCTGCCTGGCACCTGGAGGTTGGGTAAGGGAAGGGGGCAGGGATCAGGGTCATGGCTCTGAGCTCTAGGAAGGGGTGTCCTGGTGCAAGTGCCCCTCTAGAGACTTGGATACATGGAGAGACAAGACAGGAAGGCTCTGAGGAGTCCCTGGCACCTGTGAGTGAGACCAGGGTGAACACGTGTCTCCCAGGTGCCAGCACCTGCCTACCTGGCCTGCTGCACTGGGCACCTGTCCTGGTTCTTCAGGAACACCTGTCGAGTGACACTGGGGCTCATGAAGTCCACGAGGTTGACCAGGGCTCTGGGCACCTATGAGCAAGGCCAGAGATGAGGGAAGAGCCCTGGGGCTGTTTCCTCCAGCTGCCTTGGTGAGCTGAGAAGTGGGAACGGGTTGGGGGCCTTTAGAACTCCAGCGCTCCCTCCTGGGTGGCTGAAGCAGGGGGCCCTTGTCAGGGGACAAGGAGAGGGCAGGCTGCTGGGGGCCCATAGGCTCCCAAACTTATTTGATCTACTTGGCCCCTTTTCAGGAAAAAGAAAATTACTCACCCGCCACCCCCCGCGCCACTCGGCTGTTGAAACTTTTGTACCACAGCCCATATCCAAGATAAAGTCTGCCTGCCTGTTTTTGCAGCCCCCCTGCATCTTTCCAGGGCCCCCACTGGGCAGCATCACCGCTTTGGGAAGCACTGCTCTAGGCCCTCTATGGCTTGGACACAGGTCCCAGCCTGGGGCCAACTGAGAGGCACCCCAAGCAGCTCCCACCACCAGGGACACAAGGCACACACAGCCTTCCTTCTCCCAGCTGAGGTCCAGCCGACTCTATTCCTCAGGGTGGCCCCAACCTCTGGAAAGGGGTGGAGAGCAGGCCCTTGCCCTCTCCTTCCAGGGAGGAGCTACTTCCACCTGGTTCCCCCACACAGCTGGCAGGCTTGAGCTATGCCAGGTTGTGGAAGCCTCCCACGCACCTCTCTATGCAAGACGTCCAAGGCTTTGCGGAGATGTTCAAAAAAGTTGGCTGCGGAATACGTCTTCTGGAAGAGACAGGTGGGGGGGCGGGGCGTAAAGGGAGGAGCTGGTTAGGGCGGACAGGCAGCAGAACAGTGCACACATGGTTCCCTTCTGACTCCAGCTCTGAGCACTGCGCTCCCCTGGCCGCCAGCTGAGACCCCCTGAGATGAACCTTTGACAATACCAAGTTGTTTAAACTGGGCCAGCCAGCAGATCAGACCTTCCAGCCAGAGCTTTAGCCCAGGAGCAGAAAGGAGAGGGTCCTGCTTCTTCTCGTTCTGGATTCCTGGGGGTCTGGGGGCACCGCGTACATGCTTCCTCATGGCACCAGAGACCCAAAGAGGGACCCCCAAACCCCAGGATTGTGGCATAAGGTGTGTTTATGCGCTCGCTCTCGCTCTCTCTCCCACGCCTAGGCGCAGTTGAACGATCCCAGGATTGTTGCAGGCACTGTTCTGAGCGCGGATCGTTCCTGTGTCAAATCAGGCGCAAGGAGTAGGCACGCCCCTCCCAGCTCACCGAGTCCATGCAGTAGTCACAGAGATCGGCGCCTCCAATCAGCACGGTGATGACCTTCCAGTGGAGCTGGAAATCCACTCTCTACACAGCGGGGAGAGGAGACCTGTGACTCCAGGCGACACACAGCGAAGCCTCCGGCTCTCGTCCACTCGGACCCCCACCACACGCCCGTGCCCCCTTGGAAGGCCAGAAGCGGAACGTCAGAGGGGAAGGCATTTGAGAGACGTCACTGTGCACCACTGAATCTCGGCATTTCACTTGGGGACCAACCCAGGGGGCTAGACTGAGTTTTCATCGACACGAGTAACGCTGACTCACCGTGTCCGCTTTCATCCTCTGCACTAGAGCGTGGGCTTGGTCCACGAGGTCCCTGAGAAGAGAAGAAAGCTGTGCCATTGGGGCGGAGCCAGCGAACCCAGAGTGGTCCTCCCAGGGACGTGAGCAGGGGGCCGCATCACCGGCTGCAGGAGCCTGCGGCAGAGCCTCTGGCGAGGCTGGCCTCTCTGCAGCGTCACTGTGACAAATAAGCTCGGGGAGGCCCGTCTGTGCTTGCTCTAACGGGTGCTGCACACACGTCTGCTGCCCCTGGTCTCGCTGCTAGGACTCCACACACTATTGCCTTAGGGTCCCAGGTCAGGAACCCCGCGTCTCTTCCGAGGGCTTGCATAAATAGCCTCAGCCCAGACCTCTGAAAGCATGCTTTAGAAATTATTTTTCTTTGGTTGACAGGAAATGGAGGGTTTGAAGCTCAAACATACTGAGAACAAAAGGGCTCATCTCCCCTCCCCCCCCACCCCAGGGTTGTGGGTCTTCTCTCTCACATGCACACTGAGGGGTATAAACATATCTAGGTAGTTCTTTTAGAATGAGCTGGGAACCAGATGCATGCTCACTGCCCATGTGGGTGGCTGGCTCTATACACCCTGCAGGGTCTCAGGCTCTCTGATTTCCATGAGCTCAGGACCCTCTAAAGGCCTGGGGTTCATGGGAGCCACAGCATGGTGACCTCGGGATATGGTGGTGGGACTCACCCCCCACCCCCACCCCAGTCTCTGTTACCCAGGCGAGTCTAACCAGGCTGAGTGACAGACTGGTGTTCATGCCCACCCACTAGAAGGTGGCGGGTCTGAGCGAGAAGATGGCATGTGCAGAGCCGGGAGATTGCACCTAGGGGGGTGGGGGCAGGGGGCTCTGGGAGCAGGTGAGAGACCCCCCCCATGGAGCTCATCCAGGAAGGCTGCACACTTCTTCTGGGACCACTCCACCTCATTCTTTGTTAGTGCCATCACAGGGTGGTGGACGGACAGGACAGGCTGCCACTGAGTCCTCTCAGGCTTGAGATTCTGGGCCACCCTTCACCTGTTGGGGGACCTGCTCCGCGCAAGTGGCTGGGCGGTGTGGCTCTCTCTAGTGCTGCTCTGTTATGGCCGCTTTAAGAAACTAGATAAGCCGGGTTGCTGAGCTATTAAGCCACGCTGCGCAGGAAGTAAGGCCTGGAGTTCAGCCTTGCAGGGGCGGGGCTTGCTCTGTCCTGGCTGCACTGTCTCTCGCTGCCCTTCCGGTCACAGAGACCGCAAGGTGGGAGATCCACTGAGGTCCCCTCGAGTCATTCCTGCTGATGGATGAGCACCCCCTTGGGATAAGCACACCCTGGTCAGCTTCCCTCTCCCCGCCCCAAGCGCCGTACTCGGCCTTGGCTCCGGGAACAGCCTGGTTAAGGAAGGCATTGGTGTTGTTGGCGTCCCCGGTACCCACTGCGTAGCCGATGAGGTTTGGATTAAACTCCCGGAGGATATCTGCAAGAGAAGGAGCAGAGAGGCCCCAGGGAGTTCAGGCTAGAGGGCCACGTCTCGTTTCTCCTCCCGAGGGGTCCAGGATGCACGGGTCTCATCCTCACGCCGCTTGGGGTGGGGCTGGACAGCAGAGGCAGGAAGGGGAGTTGGGACCCTCTGATAACGGATAGGCCATCCAAAGCTGGCTTGGGCCTCGACAGCAAGAGTACCACCCGCCCTGGTCCTCCCCACCGCCCCACCCTCCCGGCATGCCCTGCACTGCGCAATTCATGGACCAGAGAACTCCCCTTTCCTTGACTCCACAATTCCCTGGGTCAGCCTTGGTCAGTTGAGGCCATCTGAGGCTCAGAACACAGGAAGCAACTTGTCCTAATTATCTGGTAAGCAGGTAGAAAGGCCGGGACCTAACCCTGGGTCTTCTAGTTTAAAGTCCAGTACTTCTCCCACCATCACAAGCCCACCCCCACCCCCAGGAAGTCCATGCATCTTTCTTCCATCTTCAATGGCAGCTCATGGGAGAGAAGCACTTGGCCGGGTTAGCTGGGAGGGACTCGCTGGGAGCTTCGGAGTTGGATGGGACTAATGGAACTCAGCCCCCGTGTTACTTACTAGGCAACGTGGTCACGTTATGCAGGGATCCATCCCCTCCAGAACTGTCAGGAGTAAGCAAACCAGGGAGAAAGGGTGTGGGGGGCAGGGGGAGGAGGGGGAGATGGGGCGGAGAAGATGAGAGGTTGAATTAATACATTCACTTTACAAAAAGCAGCCCCATCTTTCTTAGTATTCATCTTAAGACAATGTCCAAGATCCACCTGTCTTTTGCAGTTTCCTGTGAAAATGTAAATGTCCCTGTGGATTGAGTCCCCTACCCAAATCCAGGATTTGAAAGCAAAAGCAAACCATTTCCTTTCCCACTAAATCAGGAAGGAGAGAGTCGCTAGCTGAGTATGTGCTAGGTGCCCAGCCCTGAACTAGATGCACCCTACTGGTCACCTCCTCCAACCATGCTACTGACTCATACAAAGTCGGAAACGAAGGTGCACACGGGTCCACTACCTTCCTAAAGGACCCTCAAACCACCTCACTGTGGAAACATTCAGAAAATGGGTGCATTCTCGGCCCAGTGGTCAAGTACAATTCTACTGACCGATTTAGGAAATGGTCTCTCCTTGCCCAGTCTAATTCCATCTAATCTAAATGAGTCTTATGGTCTAATCTAGAAAACACACAATCTAAGATTTCATTTCCTTTCATGGTTTGAAGTCGTATGCCATGCAGGCTGTAGGGAAAGAACGGTTTCTATGTTAACAAATTCCAGTATTGAAGACAGACTGTATTTATTCATGGCTTCCTCTTTTGTCTCCCTCCTTGATCCAAGCCTACTCTTCTAGCCCCTAGATATCGAGAACAGCCACGACGCCCAGCCCACCAGCGGAGGTTTCTCCAAGGACAGGCCATCAACCAGAGGCAGGGTATTCTCCATTCACGGGATGCTTGGAATGAAGTTAAGTGTATTTCATACTAAGTGGCCCAAGGCTTAGTCACAGGCTCAGCAAGCCGCCCCCGTGTGGTGGAGCGGACGGAGCTCCAGTTCCTGTTACCCTTCTATTTCACTGGTGACCTCCAACTCCCATCAAATGCCTGATTAGCATGCGGCCAGTGACGGGTTGTTTACATGAGTTTCCAGTTCTTCCCCAACTTCGCATGAAGCTGCAGCTGCTACCTGATCCACTCCTTGATTCTTCTTCCTCTGGACTAAAGGCACTTAATCGGAACACCGTGCTTAAGAGGAAAGGATAAATCCACGAGCTTTCTCGAATCACTGTATTCTAACTACCTCCTTTTGCTCTGCGCTAGGCAGAGATACACAGGTGAACACACAAATATATCATTTGATTTCTATTGCAATTTCTTGGCTAAAGACATTTTTGTTCTAAAACAAGGGGGCAGCTCCTCAAGACCCTCATGCTACCCAAACCTCTTTCTCGCCCCATTTGAATGAGCCTGGAAAAAAATCTTATGGAACAATAAGAATATAATACAAATATGGAGGAGCAGAAATATGAAAGCTCTGATTTTGACTGGAACCTGCAGGAAAACCATAACAAACCGCTATCTGCTTTGGGCCCTCAGAGTAAAGGTTGCTTCGATGGCTCTATACATTCAAGGGCTGGGCTTTCTGCGTTCCTTGTCACCCCCCATGCGCCAAAGACACATTTCTCCAAAGATGTCCTAGAAACATTTGTTGGAGTTTCAATCACCTGGGACTAAACTCTGAATTAAAAGACACAGAAAGACATTTTTCTGGGTAAAATTTATTTGGGCCCTTGGAATGGTCTCAAAGAAGGGAACACCTTTGAAAGGGAGAAAGGCCAGTGGTCTAAAGACCTGCCGGTGTGAACTGAGCCAGAAGTTGGGCTCTTTCACTGGCTTAGGATTTTTACAGAGCAGGGGCGCTTGGAGGCACTCACAAGCAGACCTCCTTCGGCAGGTCCTGCCCAGAAGCTTCCCCAGTCCTCCAAGGAGTTTCCAGCCCAAGGCTTTGGGGGGAAAGGCCCACTGCCACCCCCACCACCCTTCTTTTACTTAGCCATCATCAATTGCCTGGCATTTCCAATCTAGAAATGCCAACGATGTCAGCAAATTTCTTTTCTCAAATAAGTCTACTACATAGCTATTTCCACAGGGATGTTAATATGTATTATATGAAAGGGGGGCTGGGAATCCCACTGCCATCAAGTCAAAACCAAGTAATATAGGAAAGAGCTCCTTCTGCCTCTTCCCATCCCCACCTCAGGAGCCCATCCAGCTGCTGGGGGTGCCACCCCACCACTGCAGACCTCTCTTCCCCAGAGGGCTCCCCCATGCATGGCTTCTATTGTGTGGCTGGTCCACGTTTTCTGATTTCCCACACGGCGATGTGAGGTCACTGCTTCTGTGAGCTAAGACGGTGCAGAGGAGGGGGGACGGGGGGGCGGGGGCGTGCGGGGTGGTGGAAGGGGTAGCTGCTGGGCAGCGTCATGCTTTTGAAAGTTTCAGTTTCTTTCGCTCTCTGACTTTTCGTGTCTCATTGCAGCCTTAGCAACCTTGGGGCCAGCGTGGTTGGGAGGGAGGCTCTGTTTGTTCCAGGGCAGCTGGTTAGAGACCATGCAGCTGGCTGGGCCTGCCCAGCTCTCTGTGAGGCAATGGAGGCGCAGGAGGCACTTCTACCTCAGCTCTCTGCAGGGGAGTGACCTCCTGCCAAGCACCCTAGACTCTGACTGCTACAGGCTGAGTGATGTCACCTTTCTCTCCAGGGAACCTTCCTCTAAGTGACTCTCTTTGGGTTTGTCCGGGGAAATGACCACAGTGCAGATCAGCCCCAAGGCAGCTCCTTCCCACTGGCTGGGGGATGTTGTATGGATGCACTTTGAAGAACAGGGGGGGAAAAAAAAGACTGGCCTTTCTACTCCCAGAGACAGTTAAGAGTCACGGAAATCCGCAGGTCCATTCTACCCTGTCCTTAGGGTTGCTAGGCGTCTGGATCCACTCTACGGCGGGGAGTTTGGTTTCGGTGTTGCGCTGAAGACAAGGAAGAGGCAAGCTCCCAAGTTCTCCTGGGCACTGTTGACTTGCTCGTAGCTGTTTGCATAGCTAACAAATGGATGCGACAGAGGCACACAGAAACAGGAACTTAATCAGGGAAGAAAGAAACTCAAGCATACCCACACCCAAACCCCTCACCCTCACATTCTGAGGTTTTTCTCTTCTGTTGGGAATGCCCTCTCATCCTTTCCAGCTGTCTAGCAGCTAGTCTGACACCTTCCCTGTGAAGCCTCCCATCTCTGCTGCCAGGGTTGGCTACTCTTCTGCAGTCCTCTAGCATTCATGTATCTCACTACTAAGCAGTACTTGCCAACTGAGCGCCAGGATTTACTTATGCTTTCCACACATTTTCCTCCCCTGCGCTCCCCCCTCAAGGAGGCCTGGTGGCATAGCAGGTGCACTGCAAACTGCAAGGCCAGCAGTACGAACCCATCACTGGCTCCAAAGGAAAGAGATGCGGCCGTCTACTTCCAGATTTACAGTCCCCAGCTAAGTCCACATAAAAGAAGCACAGCAGCCTGTGTGATCCAAGGGTTGTAAGTAATAAAATCCAGATCCAAAGGAGGGGATGGTATCAGAGCTTAAAGTATGAAACCTCTGTTTAGGGAAGGCTATGGATGCCAGTGGAAGCCCCAAAGCCATTTGCAGGGTCTTCACCTGGATTAAGCCTCCAGGGAATTCTCTCTGACAATGGCCCAGGGATGTGGAGAACCTTGCAATCAGATGAGAGCATTGTAACGTCTATTATGGCAGACAGAGTTAGGTAAAACCGTAACAGGAGCTCCCCTTTGACGCGTTTTAAAGTCGTTTCAGGTGTGATATTTTCTGCTTTCTCTTCCATTGAGGTTTTTCTCTGTTTCCCTTTGTCATTGTTGCTGGGTTTGTGGTTTGTTTGCCTCCTGTGGGCATTTTGTATAATTTTCGTTAGATGAAATCCAGAGCGGGTCAACCTATAGACAGTCGCTGGGTGAGTAATTACCCCAGGGAATGGCAGGGGGAGTTGGAGGGGAGTGGGGACTCCAACAGCCGTGCGTATGAGGAGAAAATGTTCTGAAATTGATAGTGGTGATAACTGCACCACTCTTCTGAAGCTAACCAAACTACTGAAGCATATTCCATTAAAACTGTCAGAACAAAAAAGACGTAAAGCCTCAGAACACAAAGGGGACAGTCCTCTGTCCTGTGGGGCCAGGACGAGGTAGAATGAACTCAATGGCAGGGACACATACGCTCCCTACCCTGCCCCAGGGTGGGACAGGTAGGGTGGGCTCAGTAGTGTTTTTGTTGATGTGAAGCTATTTCCTTCTGCAGTGGGTGGTGGGTTTCAGGGCTTCTCTGGGCAGGTGTGTGTGTGTGTGTGTGTGTGTGTGTGTGTGTGTGTGTGTGTGTGTGCAGAGCAACATGAATAGATGCATGAAGACAGCAGACGGAGCAGGGAGGACATCGAGGATGCACAGAGATGGGCAGGAGGGCGGCCGGAGGCTCAGGGATTTGGTGTTTTTCTGGGGCATTTTGTGTTGGGTTTGTTGGCCCGGGAGTCTGATAAGAACCTTGGTTTACTTTCTCTGCTTAATTAAAAAGAAAAGAAGATTATCAACAGTGAAATACACATCACCCCCACCACCCCAAACCCCCTTCCCAATAAACCACATTTGGCAGAAAGATGTAGGTTTTCCTTCGGCAGGCCCCTTCCAGACCTCACCCTTGCTCTCTGGTATCCGTGTGCACAGGGACAAGCACTCTCTGTGGGCAAACATGGGGTAGGGGTGGGGGGCACAGAGGCAGGTCAAGGGTTAACATTACCTGTATGACAGTCCCCGATACTGTGTCGTGACATCAAGAAGGTCGTCTGGCTTGGTGGCAATTCCATTGCCAGCCTTTAAAAGCAGGCCAAAATGCAAATTAACGTTAGTAGGCCGAAGCAGAGGGACGCGTTAAAGCACAGGGCTTCTGAAGCGGTGGACACCGATCGTCTCCTCCTGGCCTGGAGGCCCAAGAGCCTCTGACTTCTGCATCTCTGACTTCCACCACAGCCGTCACCACGTGCGAACAAGCCAGGCCCTTCACTTGACTGACTCTCCGCGGCTTCCGTCTGGACTGGAGGCCCGCCCCAGGCCTGGTGGGGCATGACGGAGCCTGCCCCACCATCATCAGCCTCTTCATCTGGAACACGGAACTGGTGGGATCCACTTTATAGTGAGTGCATTTTAAGGAGACTAAATGCCCCTGGAGTCACGTCAATTCCAACTCTCAGTGACCCTGAAGGGCAGAGTCCAATAGCCCCAGAGGTGTTCCAAGGCTGCCTCATTGCTCTCTCTCTCGAGGAGCAGCTGGTGGGTTTGAACAGCCGGCCTGTTGCTTAACCCACAGCCCCAGCAGGGCCCCTTCTGAGGAGACCAGTAGCGAGAACACCAGCATATTGCTGGGCACCGTTCCCAGTAGCGAGCAGGGAGAATTATTAATTTTGCAAAATCACCTCTACTACTTAAAAAAAATTCTGGCGAGATGGCATCCTGAAGCAGGCCCCTCTTTGGAACAGCTCCCAATAACGGCAAAGGATTTATCATGGGGGATCAGGTAGGGGGGGATTGCTTAGCTTTATTCCCCCCTCCTCTCACCCCCATGTTATCTGTCTGACCCAAAGGTTATTCCTATAAAGGACCATTTGGCTTCAAAACATGAAGCAAGAATGCGGCAGGAGGCAGTCTGAAAGACCTGCCTGTAATTTCTAAGGGGAGGTGAATAAGGCCTTAGAAACCATGCAGATGAGGCAGCTTACTCTCCCCCTGACATCGTGTACCACCTACACCCCACACCCCCATCAGAATGGGTAGACAGTGCCTTGTGCTGTCCAGAGCAGGTCACAAGACCTGGTCCCAGCCACCACCACCCAGACCAGAGCCCAGGAGTCCTTACAGTGAGAGAATCACCGAGAGCAGCCACCACTTGAACGTCTGCAGGTCTCAGGGCATGCACTGGAAAGACAAGGGGACACATGTAGTGCTTCCGGTTGGAGTTAAGAGCAGAAATGAGACCCGAGCACGTGTGTGGGCCATGCAAGGGTGAGACCCCGGGGGCAGTGGTGGGTGGGGGCAGTGGTTGTATGGAGATAGATGGAGGCGTCAGAGAGACCATCAAGTAATTCCAGGCCTGTGTAGGTGGGGAGAGGGCCAAGCAAAATTGGCCAGGGGGAAGGAAGAGAGGAGACCTGGGGAGATAGGTCAGTACTAGAGGAAAGAGAAGGGAGCCACGGAAGGGTCTTCCTTAGTCCAGGGAATGCTAGAGTCCCACCACTTTGGCGCCTCGCAGTCATGTGGGTCAGCTGTGGCCGAGTGCAGATGGGCACTGGACCATGGGGGGTGGAGCTAATCAGAGCTGGATGCAGGTTCCCAGCAAGAATCTGGGGAGTTATCATGTCAAGCCTTCCCTGCCCCCAAGCCTCCCCTGAAGGGCCCAGGGGATTTTCCAGGCACTCCTGCTGACCAGGGCTCTGGGAATGAGATGGCAGACCCTGGACCACAAAAGCAGCTCTGGGGTAGGTGGGCCCTGCACTGTGGGGCTCCCTCTAACAGGTGGAGGTAGGGGGGCTGCACACAGCTCTTGGGCCGGACCACTGGGACCTGCTAGGCCTACTAAGGCCGTAGGGTAGAGCGGGACTTGTCCCAGGAGACCATCCCAGGTAGGAAGCCAGCATGGACTAAATGTATCTTACAATTTGCATATTAAGCCTTATCAAAGAACTCCTGGTCTGACATAGGGGGCTTACCTGAGGTGGGGGGAGAGGGCGAAGGTGCTCTTTCCATGCATGGCAGCCATGTCCCATGATTCTATGGGTGTAGAATCAAACCAGAAAAATCTCAGCGTTGAAAGGGACTAGAGAGGCAGGCTGGACATCAGGTTCACCCAGGGAGCTTGAAAACATATAGAGTCTTGGGCCCTGTTCCTGGGGAGGGCCTAAAAAAGGGCCTTTTGAGAACGCGCTCTAGGTATTTCAACTATCCCAAAACAAAAAACTCTCCCTGCCATCAAGGCGACTCTGACTCAGCGACCCTATAAGACGAGGAGTAACTGCTCCCCATTCAGTTCTGAAGGCTGTAAGTCTGTCTGGGAGCAGACGGCCTCGGCTGTCTCCCAAGGAGCAGTTGGTGGGTTTGAACTGCTGCATGTTTTCACCTCTGCACCACCAGGCCTCTTCTTTAAGAATATTGGACAGTTTGAAATTGGATCGAGTTCAGACCTCTCTATCATCCAATGCAAGAAGTGGGACTCAGGTTCCCTTGTTTCTTCACCATCACCCTCAGCAACACCGTCACCACCAGCACCACCACCTCCACCACCAGCACCACCACCTCCACCACTGTCACCACCACCACTACCACCTTCACCACCACCTTCATTGTCACCACCACCACTACCACC